CCCTCTCCACCTGCCTCCACCACTCTAGTCTTCCGTAGACAAAGGCCATGGGGTCTTCTCCCTGCCACCTGCCACCCTCAGAAGGCCTTGCAGGGGTGGGGGGCTTGGAGGTGGAGCAGTCCAGGGCTTTGCCAGAGGAGTAGGAGAGGGCGTGGCGGGCCAGCCCCAGGAGGGAAGGGGAGCAAGAATCCCTGTCCCCTTCAAGGTCCTTCTGGCTGGACTAAGACTCAAACTGACATGAGACAGATTAACAAGAGAAAATCAAATCTAATAGCATACGTGCAAGGCGTCCACACAGACATGGCAGTCAGGCAAAAGAGATACAAATGTCATCCCGAATTAAGCAGAAGGGGGTAGGGGACTGAGATTTCAAAGGGAAGGAACCAGTAAATGTTTGGTGCACAAATGTCAGTCCTGCCAGAGAGATGGGTTACTCAGATCAAATTTAAATGTAAGCTTCTCTGCAGTTGCACACATTAACAGTTCAGCTGGTACGTGTTTCTTCCAACTGAACTGGTCTATTCATCTGGATGATAGGTCAGTTTAGGCAAACTCATTCCAGAAGGCAGTGATGCGGGTGGTTTCACAACGTTAGGTCTGTGGTCCAAGTAATCAGGTAAGAAACAAGAGGCTTTTCTATGGAAACAAGAGGAACCCAATGGTTCATGACTGGATCAAATGTTAAGCTAGTTTCCGAGTTGTGAGGGCAGCCAGTGGAGCAGACTTCTAGATGTTGGACTCGAAGCATCTCAGATAGAGTGAAGGCAGGCTGTGCAGTCAAGACAGGTCCCCTGGGTTTGTAGTTCAAATGTCTCTGGTGATCTCTGCTTGACTTGCTGAGCGATAGGCACAAAGATTGTGTAGGTTATGAGTTCTTGTGGATTTCTCTAGGTTTAGGTAAGTGGTTTACATTTAGCAGAACCTCAGGAGAAGGGCAATTTTAGTTCTCAAAGGATTCCAAGTCAGAAAGGTGGGAGAAACCTCAGAATGTCTATTTGGAACGTTGTAGCTGGTGGTGGAAGACACTAGAAGAAATCAGGACCTAATCCGTTATATAATGAATAGTAATAAAATCTAAAATGTACAAAGATGTGTTATTGAAACATATTTTCTCTCTATAATCACTTCTTTGACCAAAGATAATGAAATTAATACTAATTTGTTTGCAAAATAAGTCATTTTCCATAAAACTTGGCCTATTTCCATAAGTACAAGAATTGCAGTTGACTCTTTCAACCTGCTTTGCTAGAAGTTTTCATAAAAAGTCTCCAGATGAAGTTTAACAGCCTCTTGAGGCCAGGAGCCAAACCAATTACTTGCCATCAGACTTTGCCTGTAATACGTATAGATTTGGGTGAATTCCTCTCTTCTCAAGGCCCCCCAAACATCCCGGGGTTCCTGTACCTGTGAGGAAGTGACCTTCTTTACTCACCTGGTAAGGCTGCTGGGAACTCTGTAAGCAAGCTATCAGTCTGGTATCTCCAAGGGGCTTTATTGGCTCCATGAAATCAACCTGAGTTCTTTAAGGCTGTCAGGTCACATCTGAGCACGTCATTCCGAAATATGACCTTCCAGTCCCAGCGTGGTAAGGTCACATCTGAGCACGTCATTCCCAAATATGACCTTCCAGTCCCAGCGTGGTAATATACGCAGTGTTTCCCATTGTGTCCTGTCATAGGTAGAACAAATTCTTATTGAACTGAAGCAAATAAACAGTTTCCATAAAAAAAGAAAATATTCCCTGAGAGTTTCTGATTCTCGAGCGTTCAGGTAAGGAGAAAAGATAAATACTCGAATTTGTTCACAAAGGTATATTTTATCAAAATGTTGTAGTCAGTCAGCTGAAGAGACAACGTTTCCCTAAATCTGCCCAATTAAAACATTTTGTGGAAAGTAGCAATACTTCAAAAAGTCATAAAGAGTGTAATTATCTTTCTCAGTCGTTCAGAGTCATGCTATTAATTTTGGTTCTGCTTGAATCCAGTTTTTCCACTCGTTCTGGAAATTTTTACTTCGTTCAGATTTAGGGTCTTGAGGTATTAGAAACCTGTACTCGCAGTTTTTCCCTGAATCTCCTTGAAAATGAAGCACATTTGCTAGTGTAATGAGGCATCTAATACACATACAACTGTCTGTAAATAAGGAAAGACTTAAAAATGTGCATTCTTCGAGATCTGCTTGGAGCTCCTGTCACTGCAGCCTACACGGAAATCTGGATCTGTGACACACAACACTTCCAGATAATATCATACCAGGACCTCAGATTTGTAGGAGTTTCATATAACTTTTAGAACATGTATTTTAATAACATATCTATATAAACATAATCTAAGAGGGTTTCATATCACTTATTTGGCAATGCTTCCCATGTAAGTAAGTGTACCAAGTAGCCTCATTAGTTTAATTGCTCACAAAAATCTCTGAAATGTTCAAATGTCAAGAAATTTGAAAAGGTTTGAATGTTTGAATAGGATAACAAATTATTAAGAAACAATATTTAATTATCCTTTCAACTAACGTGGCAGTAGGAGATATTCAAGGCAAATATAGAAGGTTACGTAGCTGTGAGAGCAAAATGTAACTCCTTA